GTTGTTTCCTTTATTGTGCAAAAAGCTTTTTAATTGATGCAATTCCATTTGTCAATTCTTGCTATTATTTTCTGAGCTATTTGAAGTCCTATCCAGGACATTGTTGACTGTGCCTGCATCTTGGAGGATTCCCCCGTTTTTTCTTCTATTATTTTCAAAGTTTCAAGTCTTATACTCAAATCTTTGATCTGTTTTGAATTAGTTTTTGTACAGAGTGAAAGTTAGGGATCTAGTCTCAATCTTCTACTATGAAGATCCAGTTTTCCCAGTACCATTTGTTAAAAAAGTTGTCTTCTCCAATGTATGTTTTTGGCACTTGTTATCAAGAACCAGAAGACTGTAGCTGTGTGAGTTCAATTCTATGTCCTCTGTTCTATTCCATTGATCTACATGTTTGTTTTTAAGCCAATACCATGCTGTTTTTGTTATAATGGCTTTGTAATATATTGATATCTGATATTGTGATACTTCCAGCATTGCTGTTGTTGCTCAGGATGGCTTTAGCTACTCTGAGTCTTTTATTCTTCCATAAGAATTTTTACAGTTTTGTTTTCACTTTCTGTGAAGAATGGAATTGGCATTTTGATGGGGATTACATTTAATCTGTAGTTGTCTTTCAGTATTATATACATATTAACAGTATTCACTTTCTAATCCATGAAGATGAGGGATTGCTCCATCTTCTGGTGTCTTCTTCAATTTCCTTTTACAGTGCTCTGTAATTTTCATTGTAGATATCTTTCACCTTCTTGGCTAAGTTTATTCCTGAGTATTATTTTAACCTATTGTGAGTGGAACTGTTTCTTTGATTTATTTCTCAGTATTTGTTATTGATGTACAGAAAATCTATTGATTTTTGTACATTTTATATCTGCCACTTTGCTAATTTGTTTATCAGATCTGAAAGTCTTCTGGTCAAGATTTTTAGGGTTTTCTAGATTTAGGATTATAAAATCTGCAAATAGGAATAACTTGACTTCCTTTTTCCTGTTTGTAATCCTTGTGTTCATGAAATGAAATCAATTTAATCATGGTGTGTTATCTTTTAGTATGTCATTGAATTCAATTAGCAAGTATTTTATGGAGGATTTTTGCATCTATGTCTATCAAAGATATTGGTCATTAATGTTCTTTGTTGATGTTCAGTCATCATTTAGTTATGATTTCATTTTGATACTTGCTTCATAGAATGAGTTTGGAAGCATTCCTTCACTTTGTGTTTCATAGAATAGTTTGAGGAGCTTTGATATTAATTTTTCCTGAAAGTTCTGCTAAAATTCGTCAGTGAATCAATCTGGATCTTTGTTGGGAGACTACTTATAACTGCTTTAATCTCATTGTTTGTTATTGATCTCTTAGGAATTTTATATTCTCTTGGTTCAATTCTGGTAGGTTGAATATTTTTATAAATTTATCCATTTCTCCTGAATTTAAAAAAACAAAACAAAACTTTTTTTAGTTATAGATGGACACAATATCTTTATTTTGTTTATTTATTTTTATGTGGTGCTGAGGATTGAACCCAGTGCCTCACATGTGTGAGGCAAACACTCCTCCACTGAACCACAACCCCAGCCCTCATGAATTTTTTAATGTAGATACCCAAACACTGTATCATATTATTCATTTAATTTCATTTTGATTGTTTAAAAGTTTATTTTTCAGTCTCCATGTTTTTATAGTTTCTATAGTTTCTCTTGCTGTTGGTTTCAAATTTTATTCCATTATGATATGACAGGATGCAAGAAATCATTTCATCTTTTGGTATTTGTTAAGATTTGTTTTAAGACCTAAAATATTATCTATTTTGGAGAAAGTTATAACAGCTGCTAAAAAGAATGTGTATTCTGCATTGTTGGATGAATTATTCTGTAGATGTCTGTTAAGTTCATTTGATTTATAGTGTAGTTTGACTCTTGTGTTTCTTTGTTGTTGGTTGGTTGGTTTTTTTGTTTTTTTTTTGTTTCGGTCTGGATCACCTATCTACTTATGAGAGTGGGCATTAAAGTCACACACTATTATTATAGTAGAACCTCTCTGTCCCTTTAGGTCCAGTACATTTGTTTTATGATTAGGTGTACAATGTTCTGTGCATATAAATTTACAATAAT